TTTTTTTTTTTTTTGTTTTTTTTAGGTGATATGCCAAAATGAAAGGTCTGGCACATATAACTCTAGTGTGTGTAGGGTAGTTTCATCTTCCTTGAAAACAGTCATGTCCACCCCGTGCCGACAGCAGAGATCAGTAGATCCTCCTTATCTTATCTCTTTTTATTCCTGGATTCTCCCTAACTCGGTGCCCTTCAGACTTTCCCCTCCTGCCCATCCTTGACTCCATTTCGAGAGGTATCTTTCACATGTCTGATCACTTTGGTTGTGTCCCTGGGCCTAGACAAGCAAGCCTCTCTCCTCTGCAGGCAAATGAGCTCCTTGCTGGCCAGTCTCCAAAGCCATTTCCCTCTCCCCACCCCTCCTTAGACAAGTGACTTCCACTTTCTTGGAGATGGCTGGTGGCTCCATCTCTCACCTCTGTCCCACACCCTGGTACATCTCGTCTCCTATACCTTTTCCACCCCACCTGATCTTCATTACCCAGTTCAGGCTTCCGAATCTCAGGCTTGGAGTTCCTGCAGGATAACAGCCTCTTCTCCAGCAAGATTGAGTTTTCCTTTGTTACCCCTACACACACACACACAGACACACACACACACGCACACACCCAGCCTGGCCCTCTTCCCACTGTCCCTTCCACTTAACTTCCAAGCCACTAGAAGGCAAGAATGTGTTTTCTTTATGTTGTAATCTCCATGTTGAAATTGTGCTAGGAATATAGTAGGTGCTCAAGAAACTTGGGGTAGACCCACAGGGGGCAGAACAAGGGCAAACACAACTCCCAGAAGTGAATAAAGGTATCCATTGTGGACTACTTCATCAACAAACAGCACAATCTTTAAAAGTAGACTAAGGAATCATTGGGGGGAAAAGTTTAGCAAAATTCTAATTTTCAGCTGGGTGCTATAGCACATTCATTAAATCTTTGCCAAGTAATTACCAAGTACTGGATTCTGATACATACACGTAAATACTAAGGTGAAAGGGTGTAATCCAGGCTCAGTCAACTCAAATGTTTTCTACATATTTATTTGCCTTTTCTTCTTCCTTGGCTTTTTTTAGTCAGAAAACAAATCTTGCAGATAACTCTATGAAATAGTCCATATTACTTTCCTCAATATTTATGCATAAGAAAATTGAGGCTTAGACAACTCAATGAGTTTGTAGTGGGCTAGTAAATGGCCACACTGGGCCCTATATTAGCTACAGGTCTCAAGAGCACACAGTATTTGACATTTCATCAGTCAGTCCATCAGCAGACATTTAGTGAGCCCATGCTAAAAACAACCTATACATGCACTGTATTATAGTTTCTGGGAGAGAGAGAAGGAAGCATAAGATGGCTCTTATTTCCTCGTAAGGCATATTAAGCTGACTATGCACTAAACATCCTTGGATCAACAGTTCAGAGACCTTTCTCAGCAGAAATGTGATGCTTTTGGAATGACTACTACTTGATAGAGTTATTTGCCCATCATTTTGTAATGTGCTCATAATCCTTCTTGAAACTTTCTGCTCTAAATTTTGGTTGTTTTTTATTTTTACCATCTTGACTATTTTTAACATTATGCTATTGTACAGCTCAATAGCATAATGTTAAGTATATTCATATTGTTGTAAGACCAATATCCAGAATTCTTTTTTCTTGAGAGAGAGAGAGAGAGAGAGAGAGAGAGGGTCCCACTATGTAGTTCAGGTCTCTTTATGTAGCCCTGTTTGACCTTGAATTTGTGGCAGTCCTTCTGCCTCACCCCACCCCAGTCCCTACTGCTGGGATGACAAGCCTACAACATCATGCCCAGCTCCAGAATTCTTTTCATCAGACAAAACTAAAATGCTATGCCCATTGAAGAACAACTCCACTTGCCCTTGCCACAATCTCAGCCCCTGGTAACCCTATTTTGCTCTGTGTCTCTATGAATCTCACTACTCTAGGTCCCTTGTATTGGTGCAGTCATACAATATTATTCTTTTTATGACTGCCGTGTAACAACATAGCATAACAGGATCATAAATTCATCCACGTTTTAACAGACTTCCCTTCCTTGTTAGGGCTGAATAATATTCCCCTTCAGAAGATAATAGACTCCATATTTTTTATCCATTAGTTTATGGTTGAGAATTTGAGTTGCTTCTTTGTTTTGGCTGGGAACAAATCTTCTGTGAACATGCGAGTACGAACACAGTGTCATCTCTTCAAGATCCTGCTTCCAATTCTTTTGCAAAGAAAAATTCTATCCAGAAGTGGAATTTCTGGAGCCTATATAAATTTATTTCTTAAGGGACCACCTTGCTGTTCTCCATAGCAACTGCACCATTATCCATCCCTTCCAGCTGTGTACAAGCATGATAATTTCTCCACATCCTCATCAACACTCGTTATTTTGATTTTTTTTTTAATCCGTTTTCTAGTAGCCATCGTAATGAGTGCAAAGTGGTATTTCACTTTGGTTTTGATACAGTCTGGTTTGTTTTGTTTTTCACTTGCATGTAATTTTGTTTGCCAAGTGCTTTAATAAACCTTTGCTTATGTAAAACTTTTGCACCTGTACTGCTGTAGGCAATTTTGGCTTCTGTGCCTCCAGAAAGCTAAAACAGACTTAGAAAAGACTTAAAGAACAATTATAAAACATTTTTAATAGAACAGTGTACTTGCTGGGAAAGAATGAAACAGTTCTACCTCTTTGTCTGGAAAGACAAAGGGTGAGCAGAGCTATAATCAAAGTTTATGAAATAAAGCTGGGAAGGGAAGCAGTTGTTCAGGCCAAGTAGGAACTCCTCCCTCAACTTTGAAGACAACTAAAATAAACTAGTACTTTGTGAAGGGAGTTAGATACATAAGGGATTCATTAATAACAGTGCTAGAACCTTCCATATGGGTGTACTTCATCTTTTTCCAAAGAATATTCAGTAATGTGAATGAATATTGTCATCCCACCCAAGTTGGGTGGATTGAACAAAAATCATCATCCCAAAGGAAAAAGTCTGGAAAGCTTAATGACTCACTCATGGTCCCCTGACTTCTGAATTTGCTCTTTTCAGAACTTGAGAAATAGTTCCTGAGATCGTACCTTCCTTCATCCATAAATAGTTCAGCTTGTTAGGCTAAAATGAGTGGAAGAGCCCCCCCACATTTTTCTAAAGCTGGAAAACACACATAGGAGAGACAACTGTGAAGTTCAGGACAATGATTACTTCTGAGGTAGGAGTGGTGACCAAAAGCATACAAAACATCTGTCTTTTATCTTAATATTTTGATATTTTCATACTTTTGTGTGCATCCAAAAGAAATGCAGTTGTGTTATACTTGATAACAGTAGAAGTTATGTTATTCATTCTTTCATTCCCTATGCTTGAAATATTTTATAAATCAAAAGAAAGAAAGTCTGAAATTCTCAGTGGACTCCTTTAACTTTCTGCGAGTATAACCAACAAGAGAGAGATTGGGCTCTAAATCTTTCCCAAATGGTCCCTTAGTC